ATGTACAAGGCCGTTGACAAGGTGCAACAGGATATCAAGCGAACTCGCGAGGAGCACCAGAAGTGCTTGGCCAACGATCACTCTGTACTGTCACGCGTGGCGCCCTGGCTTCGCTCCAAGCTGCGAAACGCAGAACAGCACAAGCTGAACAAGTGTGCCTGGTCAGCGCACGAGGAAGCACTGAAGATGTGTAGCCAGCACAATCTGCAGCAGACTGCCTACTTTCTGTCGCGCGATCTGGCGTTCATGAAGGAGCGTGAGCCAGTGCTGCTGAAAGAGCTGAAGAATGCCAAGACACCTACGCGTAGTTTCCAATGGGCATGYCGTATCTGGTCGCCACAGGCGTGGATCATCAGGCGCAATTTTCAGGGACAATCGGATGTGATCCCCACGGTAATCAGCCAGCAGGCTACATCGATAGTCACGCCACGTTCAGATCCTAGCCAACCTGTATTTCTGGTTGAGAAGGAAATGATACGCACCACCAGCACGCGTTGGCCCTTTTGGCGTTTGTTGAATCTGTTGCAACGCACCTGGTGCTGGACTTGGAACATGATGTTTTTGCTCGGAATTCTTGTGCCCTGGTGTAGTCCCCTGGGATTGCGGGCGCTCTTCTGCATTAAGCCCTTTATGCCCGACCTGGAACTGTCTCAAATCAATGGCACTCTGTTTCCGCGCAAAACCAGCATCACCCAGACTCTAGCTTCGCGGCTAATCGAACTCTGGCGACACATATCAAAATCGCGCACTCATTTYGAAACTGAACCTGACACAGGTAAGAATACATATATTTATTTGATATCTAAATWATTGTTAGCCACCTAATATTATAATGAAATTTGCTTATTATAAGGTAATTGGTAATATRCTTCCTAGAAYTTACAGCTTTTCGACTTTTAAAGAAGAATAATTGATGTAAAGATCTGACGTCATTACGTTTTTATTACCTACTAATCTGCTTTTAACTGCCCATTTTAATTTAGCTTATTTATAAACTGAACTCATGCAACATTTTACCAAATTCAGGTTTCATTGGCAAGGGCTTGACACGCAATTTGAACCGCACTTGGAATTACTTCGTGAAAGGATTTCTGGGCACTATTGTAATTCTATTCGCATTCCCGATAATATGCCTGGCGACCTGTTTGCTCAGCATTGGTTTGGCATTGAGTGCACCTCTGTGGATTCCAGTGTTTGTGCTCCTGTTGCACACCTACATGATATTAATTTATGACCTCGATGCACCGGACAACACTAGAAATCGTTACTGCATTCTGCTGRAGGTGCTCATATGGAACTTTTTGATCCAGGGCCTGCTCCAGCCGCTGGTGGCGATTTTGGTGGCYACGTTGCTTTGCCCGCTCGCGGCAGGTGTCGTTTTAATAGGTAAATATACTAAATCTCTTTACGGTCTCTAGAATTGGAGCTCTAATTATTTATTATTTTTCAGTTGGGGTTGTGCGTTATACACTGCGGCTGCTCTGGGATTCTGTTACGTTCCATTTGTTCATCAAAAAGTGCGGACGTGTGCCCGCATCGGATAGCATTGCTGTAAAGCGGATCGCTGGGCCCGGGTTGGCCTTGGAYTATTACTTTATCATACGGCCGGAACAGGCGTTGGCAGCACTAGAGGCTAAAATGGAACTGGACGAACTGCAGGCCTATCAGCATGCTACCGAGCGTGTAATATTACAGCCACAGCAGGATTTTCTGCAATTTGTCGAAGCCTGTTTTGGTCCATTTTCCGCTCAGTTGTCGAAAACTGGTCCATATTTAGCGCTCGATCGCGAGGCCCAAGACCTAATGAGCTCGCTGCATGAAAAGCTGGAGAAACGGCGYAGAGAGCTKCAAACCAGTCTCAGCTCTCAGGTCAAGTCGCGKATTAAGCTGAACACCAAAGAATTGAAGGTATAATTAAAATACTCAGTTGTTCACTATTTGCATACTATAATTAATCTGGGTTGTTTATGTTTGCAGATTGTCATACAACTGGCCGCCCATTTACTCGAAAAATACTATCCGTCTCATGTAGTTGGTAGGCTGTCGATTAGTGAAGAAGAATTTTGGGACAACAAAGTAAGAACTGAGCAAGAAATCATAGACTTTCTTGTAATGTGAATCTGTATGGTTGCTTTACAGGGTCTCTCGGTTAACGACTGGCCAGGTCTCGCGGGTCTCATATATACCGAAATATTTAGTTTAGATTTTCTAACGCCATTGACTGAAAACGATACGCATTTTAAATTAGAACCACATGCCTCGCTTGATTTAATGCGCTATACGGAGATGGTGAAGAATGCYAACGATGTGATCGGYTCCAAAGGGCTGGATTTGCTGGGCAATGTGTATGCACCTCGCGGCAATGTCCAGGTGCATTTACCATTCCTCGAAGTGACCGCATTTAATCCGCGTTCACGCATCACGTTGACTTTCCGCAAACCCGAGAA